TCTACAACTTGATTTCGAGGTAGCTTAATCAATCCATGAGATACCTGTGTCCTGAAATAATAAACATTATTAATGGTCTTGACAGTCATGTCAAAATGCGAAAATCGGATTAAATCTTTGAAGTATTTATTCTACAAAAGTATCTTTTATACTTCTATATTCATATCAATTCAACACTCTGATTTCACATTGGCAAGGTTCAACTTGGGATAAGTTGTAATCTTTTAATTTTTATCGGGTACAATGATCACTTTTCTTTTCTAAACGTCCACATTTCCAGCAGCGTCGGTAAAAGTTTGTTGTGGTATGCGATAATCCCTTCATCTTTTAAAATTCTTATATCAAAAATCAATTTAATTTTTTATTTAATGTCAACCGGATTTAGACATCACAGCTAAAAGGCTTGTGGTGCAAATCTATTTGATAGGAAAACAACCCTTGACAAATGAAGTTTCTTTTAACGCCCAAACAGCTACAAATGTACTTGCTTTTGCTTTTGATAAAAAACGGATCTATTCTTTATTCCTTCCTTGTAGAGTCGACCAGTACTACATGCATGCGTATAAAAATACGAATAACTATTTATTGAACGTGTGATTTCATAGCATGGGATCTGTATTACCAGTTTTTCAGGGGCTATTAAAGTATTTGTATGCGTTCAAATATTAAATACATATCCCTCTAACCAATGTAAGTGAACACTACGAACGTGTATAAGTCCATTCTTGTGGGAGTAATTTTGAATCGAATGTGGTTAACTTCATTACGAAAAAAACACAAATATAAACCGTTTATTATTGGAGAATGATGCGATTTATTTTTCTCGTCAGGAAACGCATTAAGGCAACGCCTCTAGAAAAAGGACATTTTTCCGTAAGAAAAAACGCATCTTCACAAAATTTCGAGCCTACCGACTACATCCCCACAAATAATTGATGGAATTTGCTCTATAACCTTTACAAAGTGTACATATCTCAATCGCCATATCGAATGATTTTTCAGTTTGGGTAAAAGAAATGGAAATTGGCATACGTTAGCATGTACGAAACGGAGATATCTAATTTTAAATGTTCTTAATTTCTCGGATTACATTTCACCCCCCACATTTTAGACATTTCAAGTAACAATTATTGGGATGACCCTTTGATATTTCTTTATCATTCCTGTTTGTATATATATATATATATATATATTAGAATATCTTATTGTAAATATTGTAAATATTCTGATTACCCACAAGCATTGTCGATTCTGAGGAGGACCCCGACAAATTTGGAAACAAAACAAGATAGTTTGCATAAAATGCATATGTCCAAAGCCTGTCGAACACCTTCAATACGTGCATTAATCAACACACACACACACACACGCACATACACACGTGCAAACACACGCACACATACACGCACACACATCCATGCACACACTTCTATGTATAAATATAATTCAAGCAGTAGAAATGTGTTTCTTCAGATGAGTGTTTAAGATACCTTGGACTGACAGAATATCAAATAAAGAAGTGGTCAATAAGGCATGTGTCGATATATCCCTCCTTAACATCGTAAGGAAAGGACAACTTCAGTTTGTTGGGCATATAATGAGAAGAGGAGGCACATATAGGATGCACACAGTAAAAAAAATGAGGAAAAGAGAAGCAGAGGGAGACAGCGCATCAAATACAAGGATAAGTTCATTGGGCTGACTGGTAACAGAAATAACGTCGCATTATAGAACCAGAGATATAGAGGTAAATGGAAAGCCTTGATCACCAATGTCTGGAACAGACAAGGCACCCATCAAGCAATAGACTCTTCGTAATCAATGGGTTTAAAAATTTAGTCAGAAAAACACTTTTCTTATATTTCCCGAGATTGTAATTGAATGACTTTCACACACTGAAACATCTCTATTCCAAAATTCTTGCAAGGTTCGATCTTTTTTTTTAACTGTTCTATTTTGTATTTGAAAAAGTATGATGGTAGATGGTTTTCCAGTTGATGTACCATATATCAATCAGTTTTATTTGTTAAGTTAGGACATTAACAAAAACTGTTTTTTAAATTTCGGATGCCTGATTTAGAACAGGCCCATCACGGCCTCTCCAGGTTGAAGTGTTTTGGAAAGTTAAAGCAAGTGTAGGAGTTTAGCCTTGATTGTAGCAAGTTATTGAAATGTAGAAACCCAAAATAAAAATTGAAATCGACCTAATGGTTATAACTTCATCAAGTATAATTACTTTAAATTATCAAATTGTCTCATACATAGTGATTGTATATCTTCATGAAATATGCCTATTTTGGGTGTGATATTCAGACTATTGCATTAAGTCGTCTATATTTTCAAGAGATTATTTCATTCAAGAAAATAAGTTTAGAGCTTGGGTTGCATTTGGGCTTCAAAATTTAGACTTGGGTTTAAAGGAATGATGTAAGGATATTCATAAACGGTATTCAGACTTCGATTTTCCCCTACTTGATCTATCACTATACGGCACACTACCTTTCGTCAGCATTCTGTTATCGATTGTGTCTCTCTTGGAGTCTCTTCTGGTTTTGATATTTGGAATTTAGTCTACAGTTCATTTGTACTAATACTATCACGCTGGTTCTATATTTCATGCATTCTTAATTTGTAAGACTGAAATTATTTTGAGTTTATCCTAAAATGTATTTTTGGCTGCTGTTGAATGTCATCTCTCCATTTATTAGCCATAATGCATGGATACAAGTGTATCGACAAACATTTGAAGTGAACGAAAACAGCATGTTGTAAAAACGGAAACCTTATCAACAAGGATCTAACCTCCAAACCTTTTTTTTATCAGATTTTCTAAAGAGTGGAATGCCATAAGCATTAATTCGCACGATTGTAGAAGTTGAGAAAGCTTATCATCAAAATCCGTTTGAGCCATGGCAACAGAATGTCTCAATTTGATACTCATCATCTCGCTAATCGAAATTAATCGCAGCATCGACATGGATTACTCAACTATCCAATATTTAAGTATGGTTTACCTTGAAAAAGTACCACTAAGCTTTTATTGCTAATTGTGGTAAGCGAAACGATAAACGCACTATCAAATCCATTAAAGCGTGCTATCATCACTGCCAGTTTACATCATCTCTTTAAAAACAAAACACTTCCGATGAAAAAATAAAAACTCGAGTAGAATTCCCAATCTTCGCCTCTGAGAGTGGAATAAAATGATTTGATTGCTATTATGCCATTGAGAGTAGATGGTGTTAATGATTTTCATGACATCATTGCTCGCATCCAGTCATCGGATACACCATTAACCAAAACAGGTCCACTCATTAGTAATGGTGAATCAAATGAGTGGATCTGTTTTGGTTAATGACACTAATTAGAAGGGGTAAAGAACCTTCGGATATTGTTTTCGGCATACCATCGAATTTTTCTCAGAGTTACAGCTCATAGTTATGGTCAAACTCGAAATGATTATATATTTGTTTTTTCATCTATTCAAACGGGGGTGTTTCACTCTTAGTGTGTCATCAAACAAATTGCTAAGAAGACATGTAACACAAACTGATGAATTTTGAAATCTTTCGAAAGCAAAGAAATAAAACATAAACAAATCGCCGGGAGCGTGCGCGTGCTATAGCATGTGTTAAGGAAGACATTGAAGTATAAGCATCATTATGAAGATTAACACTGTAATTCTCTCACAAGACTTAATCAGAGACTGTGTCCTTGTTAAATCGTATATTTAAAAAAAAATAGATTGGGGGAAAGAGGATTCTAATCAAATATGCCACAAACCGTAAATATTTAAGCTCAGAAACCATTTAAAATCACTTAAAGGTATTGTTGAACATGTTTCCAGTTTAACAAATCTGAGATGCAAGGCCCTACGTGTTATCAGTGTCTGTGATATGGTGTTATATTCAAGCCCTAAACGAATTGTGCTTCAAAAATGTAAAAATCATTGAGTGACAGGTTTTACCATTCTCATTTTTCCCAATAGACTGAAGTGTTATAAAAATCGTAGGAAATACATTTTTTGAAATTTCTAATTCCAATCATAACTATCTTGATAATCAGACAGGCGATCGGCTTGTTCCCGACTGACCTAAAGGTTTATAATTATGATTGCAGCATGAGCCAAATCCAGATTTTTTTTTAAGAATCTGAGTCAAAGATACCCAAATCCTTTAAAGAAATATACCATATATTATTATGAAACGGAAGACATTGAAGAACACATTGCCCTACACGTGATTGAAACAAATAGTGTGAGGTTTGATAGGTGACATATTTTGAGAAAATAGAAATTACAGAACTTCAGCACATCATAATCCGCTAGCCTTAGTTACGAAAATCCAGTAGCTGTGTCTCAACGGCTCAAATTTCCGCTCGTTTGCAGATACATTATCGGTTAAAAACGCAAATTTAATGATGATCTCGATAACATTCATTCAAAAATTTGTAAATGAATAATCATAGCTTAATAATTTGAAATGCAGGGAGCCTAACACATTATTTTTTAAAATTTTGTTTAAGGACATTATCATGTAACAAAATATCTTACATTGAGGATTTCCGTATCAGTAATTTGAATCAGGTGACTACACAATAATAGGTGTGAATAGATAAAAATCAAATGGATTTTATCGTACATTTTGCATCATATTATTTTGTTTCCTGCAAAAAGCCTTTGTCGGCCTGAGTTCATAATTACGAATGTCTTCCATCCCATCTTCCGACCTCTCAATAAAATGTCAAAAGGTTTCGCCGTTTATGATGGCATCTCTCTACCCGACGTATGATGTTTAAAAATATCTGATGTCTATTCTGTGATAGACGTCATAACAGCCACAAATCAGTTTGAAAGGCATTATCTATTTAATTTCTGCTGTCATTGTTATGGGTGAGTGTGTATGCGCGTTAGTGTGCACGCTTCCGCGTTGCATAGGTTGGGCGTGACGCCACCGCGCCAACTCTAGTTGTTAACCTCTTCATAAAGTCACTCACGTTCTTACGTTCGATTTGTCGTCAGGCCACGTCCACTATAAATACCGGCGGCTCGCAACACATCGCTGATAAAAGGCGAGATTTTTGGTGGAAAGTGTGCGTTTGATTAAACAAAGAAGAGGAAAGACAAAATCTTGCAAACGAACATCGCAAAAAACACGCGCATGACTGACTTAGAGTTCATTTAAGGTATTTTAGGAAGATCTTTTTCGATTGCATTAATCCTGCTTTCTGCAGTTACATTTTTCTATTCTTTTCGTGAAACTCGATACGCTATAAAATAAAGCAACGAACCCTCAACGCAAGAGCTACTTCTAGCTCTAGTTGAATACTTCGTCGAAGCAAACTATCGCTTGCCACCTTTTGGAAGAAAGGAAACTAAGAGTTATATCCACTGGACATCATGACGACGTCGAAAGCGATGCTGACAGGCAAAAGGCCGAACTTGACGAGCTTGTGGTCATGGTGTCTTGTTGTCCTCACAATTCTTGCAGCCTGCAACGTTGGTTTTTCAGAAGCACAGCGGTATAACAGGATATTTGGACCTATGCGTGAGTACTGGTATCTTTTATTCCAACTCAATACCAAGAGTTAAAAAAAAAATTAAAGAGACCTGTGAAACAATTCCCTTAGTTTCACATTTTTCCTTTCTCTTGTGCCATAAAGTTTCAAAGGATTTACCATGAGAGTTCTGGTGTGTTATTTTTCACGATGCTTATAATTGGATAAGAAATTGATGATTTTTGTTTTACTTAATAAGGGTGTTTTTTTTTCTTGCTATTCTGCTATCATACCGGGGATTAAATGTATTGTTTTTCTAAAAATGAAAGCTTGTACTTTCGTCAGAGTGGAAGAGTGTAAACTGGTCTTGAGAGGGTGCATAATGAAAATGATGTTCTTGCAGATAGAAATAAATGTTTATATTTTCATTTTTTTTCTTGGAACAAAATAAATTAAATTTCGGCAATACTAGATCGTTTTTTTTTTTTTTTTTTTTTTTTTTTTTTTGTGGGGGGGGGGTTATAGGGAGGTGTGGAGTCGGTTTAGCGGTGTGAGTAAGGATTTAGCTTAAAGCTAATCTTGAGCTCTGGTATGGGAATCGTTGTTTGAGAAAAAAAATTATGATATCTTCTGGATTGTCTATCCTGCAGTAGATTGGTTGTTTGAACCAGTGAAATAAAACAAGCGCACAAAAACTTGCTGGGCATCATCTTTGATGAAAACTACAACTCCTATTTGAGCACATGGTGTCGGGCCAACTTACCCGGATTTCCTTATCTTTCTATGCTCATTAGTCAGCCACTCTATATCTTTTACCAACAATTTTTTGGCACATGTCATTTTTTTGTAATCTTGAACATTCAGTGTAAGTTTCGTTGGATTCGGTCAGAATTTATTTATGTATTTGCCAAAACTAAAGTTTATCTTTAACTACCAAACAATATAGAAGTGATGTGGAATACATTTTCTGTCAGTAAACGATGAATGCATTTACCACTTGAGGTTATGAATAGGGAGGGGTTTATGCCGTGTCAGCATGATCCATCATTATCATTCGGTGGCAATGGATATTAATCACGTCGTAGACATTCTAACCGAACGATAATAAACCAGATACCATCAGTGCTTTTGTTGTACGATCCTTGACCAATAATCTAATTTGGATTACTTGACCAGTTGCGCCTTCCCTGTAATTGGAGATTGCTCCTTCGACACACAAATAATCCAAACGATAAAGAAAGTCTGCAATAGAATTAACGATATTTTAAAAGTAATAATCTCAGGTTAAGATCATATCATATTTACAAATGCTGAAGGATGGTGGACAAAGTGTAAAGTAGATTTCGAAGTACAGCAGGCGATAACATAAAATTCAAGTTTCTTTATAAAAAAATATGTGGATCTTCTTTTTATGCAGTGGATTTGGAACCTTCGTTATTGCAAGAGCGCTAAAATTATAATATGTTTGTCATCTAAACAGCACAACCCTTCTTTCTCTCTCTCTCTCTCTCTCTCTCTCTCTTTCTCTCTCTCTCTCTCTCTCTCTCTCTCTCTTTCCCTCTCTTTTTTTTTCTCTCTCTCTCTCACTTCTCTTTCACCCTCTCTTTCTTATCTCTTTCTATCTTGATATCCCCTCATCTTTTGTCCTTGTACCTCATCATTCCCTACATTTTTTCAATCTCTCTCTCCTTTCTACATCTTAAAAAAAGAAGCAGGCTGATAAATGAGATATTGTTGCTATGCCAATAGATTTCGTTCATGAACATTACCAAGGAAGTGAATGCTTAAGTCAGTTTCGAGATGAATTTTAATTACACTTTCAAAACAGAATGCTACTATAACATCGATATTATGATGGCGATCATTATGACTTAATTAATAAGGATATTGGTATTCATCTTTGTTTATCTTTAATATTTCCCGTCGAAAAATATATATATAGCAGTGGGATCTAGAAATTAATGGAGGGGAGGATCATTCCTGGAAGACAGCCCGGCGCACAGGAGTGCACTGCAAGTACTATTGATTTTTCTATCCTGGGTATTTAGACTGTGGAAAGGAAGCACACACCGTTTCGTAGATACGTCATTAGACAATTTATTACCTAGGAAAAGAACATTTCACGTATACATCAGATCAACAAAATAATAATAGAAACGTGCGAATTACCAAGAAAAATCAACTAATGGAATTTATCACTTCCGAGTGCAAACATATATTGAGTTATACGATAATTGCCAAAAGCTAAGGAAATATTAGAAAGGTACATTATGAGACAGAATGGATACTCAGAGACAAGAAACAAATTAAAGTAGGAAGGATGGGTGGGCAAATATTGTATTGAACACGCAAATTTACATTAGTCATTGTAGGAAAAATTGGCAATAACGAGAGCCTGTAATTTACTCCTAAGTAAACATGGCGTTTGAATTAACTTTGCGCAATGTTTGAAGAAATTTGCGAACCGTCAGACATTCCTCCGTCGCGTGGTAACAGAATGAGAGAAAGATGAATTGGCTATACCTCTTACAATGGAAGCTAAATACGGACCAATGGAGTATATCCCAATGAAAAGGGAAATGAGGCGCTTAAGGAAGGCGACGCCAATTATACCACGGCCTTATGAAGATAGTAAATGAGTGCGCGTGCGTGTGTGTGTGATTCGCTTTTCTTGATGCGTCATTGGTTGAGTTTCATGGTATAGTACTTTTCGTATTACGAAAGGGAGGTTCGGAATAAATTTGTTTTGATATTACGTGTGGAAGAAGTGGATTTAATTGATTGGAATGTTATTCCGGACAAAAATTAGTAACAAAAGCCGGAAGGCTGGGGTTCCGTTTCCTTAGTAACCCTTCTCCATGCAACAGGTTGGAAATCAAAATAGTCCTGCATTAAATGCTGTGGATAGTTCATCATATTTTCTCTCTGTTGGTTCTTAATATTCAGCCATATTAGACTTCTCCTTATAAAATTCACTTTTCTAAACTTTTAAGATACGACAAATAAATTTTACTAATGCAACATGAGGAAGTATTAGTTTAATTTAACGCCATGTAAACTATATCTGTTACAAAGCAAAACAATGAAGAAAAAAAATCTTTAAACATGATAACTAGCAGAGAAGCAATCAAACTCTGAAATAACGCAACATTATCTTATTTCTTTTCTAGGTTCTCCGAATCAGAAATTGTCATCACCTTTCAAACTTTCTTTTATAAATTTATTTATTTCAAATTTTCACAATATTTTATTGACTTTCTGATACTTCCTTCGTATTCTATTCATGCTAACTTTGTAAATGTCTAACGTGACAATGAAGGAAATTAAGAATTAATTTTAGTTATCGTTCATAGAATCACTTTGCAGTGTTTCCATGAATGATAAATGGTATAGGTATTGTGCGGAGGAATATATACTTTTTGTGACTTAGAACCCATGTTACATTTCATCAATTGTGTGTAAATGCATAGAGGAAATACACGAATAATCGACTTCATATTCGGTGTTAGGTTGAAAGATTAATTCAATCAGATAATTAAAAGAGATGTAGGCCGGCTAATACAAAATTATCAGGTCAAATTGTTTTAGTCCACCCGAATCCACATTTATAAAAAAAAAAAACATTATGTTTAAGGCCAGGTTGTATGGACAAATTTGAATTCGGTTTATTGTTGGAATAGATTGTCGAAGAGCTTTCTAAACAAGCAATTAACAACAAAAATCTGAGTTAACCGACAAGAACTACATCCCCCAAGATTTTTTTTTTTTTTTTTTTTAATTTTTAAAGGTACCTTGGGATAATAAAGATAGAAATAGCCGCCCTATAAATAAAGTAATATGGAAGGGTTAGAGTAATCTAGTGGACAGAATGTTAACAGAAAAAGGGATTGAACAACATTAGATAGAATGATCTTTACAAAGGCCATGAAATGAGGAAGGCCGAATTATTTTAAGCATGTAAGTATATGGCTTCATTATACTCCTACACTAAACGGACATGCCTGGAAGGACGCAATTCTCTCAGGGTAAATTTGTCCGGGTGTGGTTGTGGGTGTGGGTGGAGGCAAAGGCTCACAAACAACCCATATTCAGACAACCGTCACTAATGTATAGGGTATAAATAAGTATAAGTCTAAGTATTTGCAGCGAATGGACAACTATCTCCAGAATAAATAATATCTTAATATGCCCAGTAAAAAATGCTCCACATGAACCAAATTCGGTATGGTTCTAAAAATTCATTTTTAGGTTATATTTTTATTCAAAAAATAATGAAAGGTCTGATCAGGGGCATGCGTACGGAAATATTTACATTACAAGACATGCTATATAGTATATACATCCCTGTTTAATGTCAACCGGCACGTATGAAACTTTATTATTACAAACAATCACACACCTCTGCTTGTACTAACACCTGTTCAATTCCAATAACCTAAACGAAGACAAGAGCTGCACGACACTTTGGATGAACTTTGAGAGTAGATACTGCCTCACAACACTTAATTATATCCCTCTCCGAGATGTGACATGATATTAAAAAGGTGTACATTTGACAGAGAGTGATGTTCATGAAACTTCATGACGAAATTGAGAAACACCCTTCCAATGTCGTGTTGATAACATTATCACAATAGCAAGGGAGACAATGAAATTCCGTTTTACGTTCGGTGTAGCAATTTCTAAGCGCCATTTTACTAGACTTAATAAATGAGAGGAAATCATGTGTTGATTTACAAGCGATGTGAAATAAAATATTTTAACCTCAACATGATGATAACCTCACCTTTTAGGAAAAGAGCATCAGTTTTGATGTGTAATATCTTTCAATCAATTTAGCAATCAATAATGAAAAAGGGATACAAATTATTTTGAGGTTTTCCAATAATGAACAGTTGACTAGTGATTTTTTTTTTTAATTAGTTCCCTACCGAGAGAGCATTTGACATGATTAATGTCGTTATCCGAGGAAAAACATCTAGCAGCTATTGTAGCGACTACAAATTGACGAATTTTAGCTAGTTTAAACTTTGCATAATAGTCCTGGTGA